TGCTATACGTCTTTGGAGAAATTTGAACTGGAAGTTCCTTATCTTAGTACTGAGCGTACAAAACCTTAGTAGTAAATAAATCGATTCCAGCTCAAATCCTCCACCACTTGAAGGTTACAGTCCCTTACCCATTTCTCCTGACTCTTTTGGGGGCTGGTAGAATTTTTTGTACTAGAATTTTATACGCTAATTTTGTCGGCTTGGTTGCTGCAATCAGTCTTTTTGCACCGAGAACCCCTGATCCTTTCCATCTGGCGTTTTCAATTTCAAAGACTCTATAGCTCTCCTTATGGCCGAGGTCACTCCATAAAATTCAAGGAAAGAGGCAGATAAGCAATATTTCTCTCTAAACACTCCATAAGTTATGACCTTAAAATCATCGTTAACAAGATCTTTGATATTTTGTACGAAAGCAACCTAGAAAAGAGTTTCACAAATGAATATCAGTAGCACGAGCCTTCAGAGTACCGCCTCCTCTTTGTGAGAGTTAACATACGAAAGAAGCAACATATGAAGCCAATCGTAAATCATAAAAGACGAAGGTTCAAGATCGTGCAAAAGAATTCATCAACGATCTCGAGAGATGCGTTAAGGACATTTATGAAAAGCATTACAGGTATCCAGCATAGATGATCACGGCAGAAGGAGATATCAGTAATTTCGAGAACGCTGTAATATGCCACATATGTGACAAAGGGTTCAATGATGAAGATCGGAAAGTTAGGGACCATTGCCATTCCTCAGGAAAGTCTAGAGGAGCTGCTTACAACAGTTGTTATTTGAAATTCAACAAGCCGAAAAAGATTTCTGTCATCTTCCACAACCTCTCAGGTTATGATGCTCACTTGTTCATCAGGAGGTCTTCAGATGGAAATGATGAAGGTATCTTCTACATCGCTAGCACTGAAGAAACATACATATCATTCACGAAAAAAGATCATCAGTGATTCATTTATTGTCATCGCAAAAGATGTCAAAGAGTAAGAAAAAGAAAAGAAAAGAAAGTAGAAGTAAATTTTGACTTGATATTCATCAATAGCCTTACATAATAGCCTTACATGCATGCTGTTATCTCTGGCTGATTTTTCTTAAAATCTTCCAAACGACGAGGGATCATCCCAATATGACTACTTTGATTCACTTGTAAAAATGAAAGACACGAAGCTGCCGTCAAAGGAAGCATACTTTTCAAGGCTTAGTAATGAGCACATCAACCCTGAAGGGGTGGGGGAGGAAGCACTTTCATCCCATATCTGGATGCTTCGGAACTTGAGAAGTGTAGGGCTTTGCAAATCCTGATTCAGACGTTGAATGCATTCTTGAGGTCGATCTTGAATATCCAGATCATATTCACGACCTTCATAATGACTATCCACTAGCTCCTGAGAGACTGATTGTTAATAAGGTTGAAAAGCTCACCCCGAACTAGAATTATATAGAGAATTATGTGCTTCACTACAATGAATTTGAAAACGATTCAGCAAAGGATCAAGTTTTAACAGTATGCGTGGCTGAAAACGTACATCGACTTGAACACCAAACTTAGGACTACAGCCAAATCAGAATTTGAAAAATACTTCTTCAAGCTGATGAAACATTCCGTCTTAGAGAAGACCATGGAGAATACAAGAAACAGGGTGAATGATATAAGATAGGCCGGCGACAGTAAAACGGAAGTTAAGCTTTCTTCAAAAGTCAACTGCAAACACATCACAATCTCCGATGAGGATCTGATAACAGATCACATGCAGAAGAATTACCTGTATTTCCACAAGCCAGTCTACCTACATATGACTGTCCTCGACTTGAGCAAGACTTTGATGTATGATTTTCATTATAATTACACGAAGATGAAGTATGGTGAGGGAGTGAGACTATTGTTTACAGACTCTGACTCACTGATGTATGAGACCACTGACCGAAGACTTTTGTACTGATATCTCTGAAGATCTAGATTTAAAGTTTGATGCATCAAATTATCCAAAAGACTACCCAATTTATCCAGCAAAGAACAAGAAAGTCATCGGGATGATGAAAGTTGAATCTGGAGGAAAGCAAATTTCGGAGTTCGTTGGTTTGAGAGCAAAGTTGTACAGCTATAAGACTGATAAATATGAAAAGAAGAAATGCAAAGGAATCACAAAGAATGTAATCATTAAGAATATCGGTTTTGAAGACTACAAGAGAACTATTTTAACGAGAGAAATTCCACACAGGAGGATGAACTGTGTAAGCTCGCCAAATGATGAACTTTTCATTTAAATTGTGGACGAGATAGCCCTCTCAGCAACAGTGACAAGAGGCACAGATCAAAAGACAAAATAACTACTCGTACTAATGGGTATAAACTATTACGAAAGAAGTGAAACTCAAGAGAATATGAAATTTCTACAGAAAAAATATAGATGTTTTCTAAAATGAAAGTCGCCGATAGAATTAAGGTGAAATGAAGTTGACTCTCCCACCAAGTTGATTTGTCCCAGAACTGGCATATCTCTACTACTGTATTTAAGGGGGTAAGTTTCTAAAGAAACGTCGGTGGGAGAGTATAACAGGGTAATTTAGTATTATCAACTGAGTTGATAACGTGATTTGCTACGGTAAAGAGTTTCAAAGCTGACGTTTCGAGCGTTAGCCCTTCGTCAGAGCGAATGGAGGAATCGTGGAACACACAATTGTGTGCTGCACAACTTTTCCATTCACTCAAATACTAAAATACTAAATTACCTTGTTATCCCCACTACTGCACTCTTACTTTTCCTTGTTTTTCGATTTCTATGTTTTTTCTTTTGCTCATTTAGTTTTCTCTAATGTCTGATTTGAATTTTAGTATCTTGCAGTCTATTAGTTTTCCTTGATGTTGATTGTTATCTTAGCATTTAGGGCACTTTTTTCCGTTTTGTTCGATTGTTATGTTAGTATCTGAGGCACTTTTAGTGTTCCTCGTTGTCCGGTTATTACGTTTGCATCTCCATACATTTAATTATCCCCGTTGTGCGATTTTTACGTCAGTATCTCGCACACTTATTTTTTCTTGTTGTTTGATTGTTACGTTGGCATCTTGTGCACTTTAAGCTTTCCTTCTGATGCAATTGCTAGGTTAGTTACTCGCCACTTTTAGCTTTTCTTGTCCTGTTGTAACGTTAGTATCTTGTGCGCTTTTGGTTTTCCTTGGTGTCTGATTGTTACGTTAGTAACTCTCTCTCATTTAGTTTTCCTTATCACCATACGTTACTTTCGTAATTTGTGCACTCTTAGCTCTCATTGGTGTGCGTTTGTTTCGTTCTTAGTTTGTGCACTTTTCGTTTTCCTTGTTGTGCGGTTGTGTCATTAGTATCTTGCACAATTTTAGTATTTATTGCTGTGCGATCATTACATTAGTATAGTTTTTCTTGTTTTCTTTTCTTTTAGGTACGTTAGTATCTCGTGAATTTTTGTTAGTATCTTGTACTCTTAGTTTTTCTGTGTCGCCGTATGTCTCGTTCTTAATTCGTACACCTTCAGTTTTCCTTGCTAACCGATTGATACTTAAGTAATTCTCACTACTTTATTTTCTTTGTTGCCAGATTGTTACGTTCGTAATTTGTGCATATTAAGTTTTCCCTGGAGTTCGATTGTTACGTTGGTATCTTGCACACTTTGAATTTCCCATATTTTCTGATTGTTACGTTGATATCTCATACACTTTTATTTTTTTACACTACTTTTGTTAGTATTTTGTACACTTTTAACCTCCCTTTTTTCCGATTGTTGTGTTAATGTCTCACCAACTTTTGGTTTGTTCTTGTTGTCCGATCATTACGTTAGTATCTCCACACATTTAGCTTTGCATTCCCTGTTGTGCGATTGTTACATTAGTATCTCGAACACTTTAAGTTTTCCTCGTTATCTGATTGTTATGTCAGCATTTTGTGCACTTTTAGTTTTCCTTGGTGTCTGATTGTTACGTCAGTAACTGCCACTCTTTTACAGTAAATGATTTCAACCCGGGGGTAACATGTAAAAGTGTTGTTTGATTGACCGGGTGACTTAAGTCGTGGGAAGGACTGTTATGGGAAGTAGTGCATGACGTTTCGATAACCTAAGCAAAGTCCTCACCAGAGTCAAGTGAGTAGTTTTTGTCACTCGAATGTTCCAAGTCCGGTTCGTATAAACTGATTGGTCAGTTTTGCCGTTCTGACCAATCAGTTTGGTTGATGTCCCATCATTAGGTTACTGATTTGTGTACTTTTACTATTTCTTTGTTATTCGATTGTAGTTTGTACACTTTTATTGATCTTTTTTTCTTATTATTGCGTTAATATCTCGTGAGTTTTTCGCTTTCCTTTGTGTTGGATTGTTACGTAAGTATGTCCTGCACTTCTAGTTTGCTTGTTTTCTGCATGTTAATTTACTGTTTCGTACGCTTTTTGTTTTTGTGGTTGCCGAATTCTTACCTCTATATATCGCACACTTTCATTTTTGCTGTGTCGGATTGTTATTTTGGTTATCACTTGCACTTTAAGTTTTCCCGTTACTTTGGTCTCTCGCGCTGTTTTAGTTTTCCTTGATCTCTTGTTTGTTTCGTTAGTATGTGTCAGACTTTCAGTTTCCTTGTTTTCCCATCTTCACCTTAGTACTTCTCGTTTTTTAAAGTTTCGTTGGTTTCCCAATTGTTACGCTAGTGTTTCATACACTTTTAGCTTTCCTTGTTTCTTGATTGTTACGTTAGTATCTCTACTCTTGTATACTTTTACTTTTCATTTTTGTCGCCGAATGTTACGTCAGTTTTTTTGCTCTTTCTTAAATTTCGCTATTGCCCGATTGTTATGTTATCTTGCACGCTTACAGTTTTCCTTGTACCCTGTTTGTTACGTTGAGCTCTCCTGCAATTTTAGTTTAATTTCCCTACCACTAAGGAAACTTACCGTAGAAGGGTATTGCTGAGGCACAGGAGAAACTTTTCGGGCCGTTTTTCGTATTGTCTTTCGTATGCCGTGAAGAACCATTAAAACAATTTCTAAAGTGAAATAGGAAATTTTATTGTCCTAGCCCTAAGAAATATACTTCAGATTATTGTGATAATTTTCAAAAGTGTTGAAAATCTGACCGTGTGAACATCGGTTCTGACAACCAAACTTTTCAATGAAACAGCTTCGTATTTGGCTTTAAGACATGTACTTGCAGCAGCTATGTTGCCGCAAATGTTTTCGAATAGTACCGGTATGCCATGGGTGCGCTAATCCTTACGGGAAAAAACATGAAGGACAACTGGTTCGGAGCGTGAGCTCAATAACATCTTTCTTCACTTAAATAAACTTGATTATAATTTTCAATCGTCATTTGCATCATCGTTGCACATAAACATAACATATTGACATTCCACTTCCTAGCAATATGCAGGAAGTTTGTCTCCATGGACCTTATAAAACGGCATAGCTTGCCACAAGTCTTCTATAGTTCAGTGGCGGAGCGCGCCAATGGGAAATGGGAATGGGAAATGGGAAAGTCAAAGTTTAAGGACGAATCACAAGCTTGACTTGCTGGAAAGGTCAGGCAAACCCCAACATCTCAGACGACTGATACCTCCGTCTGGATAAATAGTTAGCCGTACATGTGAAACGACACCACATTCTTCAAGCTTGGAGAAGAAGTGACCCTTGTGTGGAGACAACTGAAAAATAGGAAATGTATTTATCAATATATAATAAAAGTAAGTTCACTACAAAATCTTAAAAGGTCAATCCCTTTAAAAATAATAAAGTAATGCACCACCCGAGGAGGCTTCCTTTCACAGGCTTTAAGGGTACTCCAAAGAATTCCACGAACTGGGGTGGACTCCACGACAAGGAAAACTACCAAAGACACAAAAAATCTCTGAACACGCGCGTGTCAAGCAAGAAATACCGCGCGAGCAAACTTCATCATGATAAGAGTAAATTAACAGGTTTGCAAAGTGAAGGAGCCAATTCCGAGCGCTGTAGCGGTGCTTTGTTGTAATTCAACGTGCTTGAGGCAGGGTAAAAAAATCAAAACATGTCCAGGGAGAGATCCTCAAAATGTAAGATATTGCCTCAGCATCTTTTAAAAACCTTCCGCCCCATTCTCATTGGAAGAAAAGCAAGTAGGAATAGGCAACACTCATCGTTTTAGCTTAAGATAAAAGATCGCGAATTTTTAGGGTTTAGCCCTTGCAAGATTTCTCTTACAAAACAGCAAACTGTTTCCTTTTTTCTTATTAAAAAAGGACTTTTCCATCGTAAAAATATAGAGGTCTACCGATTTATTTGTTTTGATCTTGAGGTATATTCCTCTTTTTCCTACGGCCTCCACAATCAGATCAGGTGGGTGGTTCAGGGAACCATCCTGTTTGTGACATAACCTCAATCAAGCTTATTACTTAAAAAAATTCTGAAAGCCTTTTGTGCAGCTGTTTTGCTTCATAACATGTTTAGAAATTAAATTAGAAAAACAAGAATGATGTGGTATGGCATAACTTAAAAAAAGAATAGAGCACCTTGGAAGTGGGTAAAATTGTTTTCCATTTTAGTGATGACCAGTCATCAGTGGAAGCATCTAATCTTTTAAGGTATGGCACAAAGACTCCTACCAAGAATAATAACAATAATAATAATAATAACAAAAAATTAGGGAAACTAATCAGAAATTTAAGGACAACCTCCAATAGCTGTTATAAGGTGTTCAGTATGATTTTGTTCAGGGTCTATGATTTTCTAACCTGTAACATTCTCTTTTATCCTGTTGTTGTACATTGCTTTTTTATCATCTTGGGTATGATGATTCCCTTATAAATTGTTTATGGAATACTTGCTGTCACTGACAACATTAATGATACCAGTATAATTTACAGTGTACAGTAGTGTTTGTAAACTCATCAATATGCACCCCCCCTCCCTCAGAGTTCCCCACCAGGAGCCAATCCCCAGACTTTCAGACTTTGGGCTGATCTTGCACTGAGTTACTGAGAATTATTTGGTGAGCTACATGCAGTAGGTCATCACTACAAGGTAGGTTCAGATATTACATGCATCCTGCATAATTATTACCATCAGCAATGCTGCAATTGTGAATGAATAGAGTAAGAATTATGGCAAACACTTAGTGCAGTCCCCAAACAAAGATATTGTTTGTCTTGTGACAGGTTTGGGTGAAAGAAATCTGAGTCCCCCCTTTAGAATCAAACCCCACATCCTCCAGTGTCACCCTTCACCAAGCATCCTAGTCTTAAATGACTTTAAATATATGAAAATCATGTAAGTGAACTTTAGATTAAGAAATGAATATGAAAGAGATATTTGCAGTGATGAAAGCTACTTAAGCAGTAGCTAAAATAAGGCATGAAAAATTTAGGCCTCTATGAGATGATACGCCCTCATTTTCACTACTGCTTAAGTTTTGTTCATTATTGTGAAGATCACTCATATTCACATCCTAGATTTGTTATCATGATTACCACTGTTATTATTGTGACTCTTATTTTTTATGGTATATCCAATTTGGTCTGTAATCATTCTAGTGATGAACAAAATCAAAAGACATGCTGAGAGTCCAATTTGTTTATTACAAGTACCATTACAGACAGAACTGGACAACACAAAATCCTACCACCAATCCATCAAAACCCATCATAATGATAGAATTTCAAAAACAAACCAGCCATCAGTTATATGTTTTCATTAAAAAAAACTGTTCACTTGGTGAAAGGCAAGACAATAGTGTGTACAGCATGTCCAATTACACAGGCATGTGTATACTGTCCTGTAACACTGACCAATTACAAGCATGATGCAAACACTTTCTAAATGGTGCTCAAATTGGGCTGGTGAGAAACAATCACCTTCCAGTATTTTGTTATAGTTTTGATCTTATCAGGATCAATAATATTATCAATATTGAAATAGTTAATATCCTTGTCATGGATCGTCATCACCATTTAGTTAATTTTACCTTCCACTACACAGGAATGGGGAAAATTGCCTTTAAAGTGATTGGTGTCAATTTCAATCTACAAAAAACAACCAAACAAACAAAAGAAATAAGAAAGCACAAAAATTTAATTTTCTGCAACTTCACTTTCTTCTAGCTAGAAGACAATAACTGAATTCTTTATTGTATTTTATATGCCCTCCCAGTATAATTAAAAAAATCCCACCTTTTTCAAAATTCCTTGATGTCCTAACTGAATAACTGCCCATTCACAACCTGCTATTGAATGATATAAATGTGTTTATGGTATTGATGATTAATCAGCAATACATTTTTAGTAGGCCTGATCATGATTAATGTGAGTGTTTATGTTTGCATAAGGCAACTTACAAACAAGTGTCATTCATTTTTTATACTTTGGGAAAAAACAATACTAATGTAAATTTAATTTTGAATTTAAAGGAGAGGAGGCACAGTCAAAATAAAAAACATAAATTGAAAGAGTAGGGCACCTGCCAATTCCAGGCTACATTAGCTATAGGTGGATCCTCACTCTAACAGATTCCCATTCTGCAAAATTCACATATTTTGCGAGTAATTGTTTACATTGATGTTCTCTTTGGTGGAATGGATTTCAGTATTTGTAAAAACACTACAATCCAAAGCTTGAATTTTAATGCCCCCTTTGATGTGGTTGACCCACTCCTTGTGACTGAATACCTTAGAAAATGACTTTGGTATAACAGATACTGCTCTTAAATGGTTGCAGTCTTACTAATCATTTTCGAAAACATGCCCTCTGTCAAATGAGTCAACTTATCCTGTAGAGTGCCTCAAAGAACCCGTCTAGGTCCCGTTCTTTTTTTTCTCCTCTGCTCGTAAGAAAACATTATTTCCACCTGTGCATGCCTTTGTAGATAACACTCAGATCTACTCCTTATTTAAATCAGAATCACAGCTAGCTTAGTATTACTGATAATGGATGGTCTCTTATCATCTCATAATAAATGACTCTATAGAGCTGAATTCTTGATTTTTGGTACCTGTGGTCAGCTGTCCACAATAAATATCGACCAACTCTAACATGGTTGGAGACTCAATTGTTGAGCCAGTAAAAAGTGCCAGAAATTCAGGTTCTTGGTTTGACTAAAGCACGACAAAGGATTGTCATAAAGGGAACAATTGCCGCAAAGCTTTTAAGGGTCTCTACAAAACCAAACAACTAAGAAATCACATCCTAACACATCTCACCCTCATATCTCATATTATTTCTACCTCAAAGTAAATTTGACTTCATTGACTTCATTGGTACAGTTTCGAATCAAGTTCAAAGTATTATTATCTTCTTTAAAAACTTTTGTTGGTATAGCACCATGTTGCATCTGTCATCACATCAAAGGAAAGGGATCTTTCAGAAGTTCTCTGCAGTCCAATGAACCTGCTGTGTTAGAGGTGTCTTATGTGAGTTGCAAGAGTTTAGCTGATCAAGCCTTTGCCTCACTGGTCCATCTAAGTGGAATAGTAGCTTGCAAAGTTGATTACAATGCCTCATAACTATGTTACTTCTAAGAAACAGTTGAAGACATGCCCATCAAAAAGCATGATATTTGATGGTATTTTAGATTTTAAATTTAAATATTTTAATTTTCTTCAAATTGTAAAGCCCTTTGGAAAATTTCAAATAAAAAGTGCTTTTGAATATTTTATATAAAAAGCACTATATAAAAATTCATCATTCTTCTTATTATTAAAAACCTGAAAAGCCAGAGGAAATTAGGTAGCACTATGTAAGACTTCCTTCTAGAGTTTTATGATCTTTTTCTCCCTTCTATCACTTTTTTTCTTGTTTTTAAATCTGAGATAATTCATGAATTTTTAAGCTGATCCTATTAAAGAACTGCTCCATTTTTGTAATAGGATAACATCAAGGACAACTTTTCATATTCTAACCTAGAGGTCAGAACAAATAATATTATTGCAAGGACTCTGTTTCAAAATACAAACATAGCTCTGACATCTCTTGCAAAATTGTATTGATTTGTAATTGGAGGAGCTGATTTTTCACTTTCCTGCTCTAGATGAAAAATAATCATATCTTCAACTTTTCCTTTTGACCTCTCCTTCCCATGAATTTTCTGCTCTTCATTTCTTTTCCATCTGCCTTCATGACCCCTGTTTCTTCTTTTTTCATGCTTTTATTTACCAGATCTTCATCATTTTTCTCTGGACTTTTTCACCTTTTGATTTTTTTGTTACTGAAATCTATTTTGTGTGGTATCACAAGCCCTTTGACTTTTCTTTTCAAGTCCCTTTTAACTAGATCTTTGCCTTCCAACCCCATTATTTTTTTCCTGCTCTCTTTTGTATTCTTCTCTACCACAGATGTTCCTGACTTCAGCTGTGGTATTACTTGCTCTTTGTTATATCTCTACATGTGCAAGCAAGCCTTTTTAAATTGCTTTGGAGCTACTCCCAACTTTCTTCTTGTCTCTTAATTTTTGTTCCGTATCTTTCTACCTCATTTCTGACCATTAAGTTAACATCGTCTCCTCAATATTGACTTTGAGTCGTTATTTCCATTTGACACAGCTAGTAGCTGTCAATAAATATGCTGAGCATGCTCAGTGGAAATTGTAAAATACACAAAAAGTGTTCTCAACTGTGACATAGAATGTGATTTCAAGCCAAAAACCTGAATTGTTAATCAACTTCTCACATACATCCTTTTCACATCTACTTGCCTATACAAAGCACATGTGCAATGATCAATCTGGTGCCCATTAATACACCTTGCCATTGCACTGCTCTCAAGTATGTTCACTTCACTAGATTGCACATATCACATTTATTTTATGTTTCCTTGCCAATGGAAATTAGATGTCCTAATCACAGATGGATGCATACATAGACATTACCTACTCCAACATCATCACCACACATGCAATGCAAAAACCTGTGCCAGCAATGTAACAGGTTGCTTGCTTTAAAAGTACCATCTTATAAGTATGGTGAGCATTGACTATTGTATAGTCACTTGATTTCTTGGCTTGATTGATTGACAAATTTTCTGAAGTATGGAGCTAAGTTGCAAGTTGTAGAAATGCAAGTAGTAGAAAAAAGGGGGTTCTGGTGTATTTTGAAAACAACCTTGATTTTTACAGCAACTCATGAAATTTAACCTTAACTTCAAAAAACATTTCCTATGCATTTTGGAGACAACCCTGATTTTAAGGCACCTTGAATTTTTCACATGTAAATAATATTCACAATGTCTCACTTGTGAGTTCTGAAGAGGATGTGAATGTTATCATCTTGAAAGATCATCTCGAACAATTCTCTTGAAATATTCTCTTGTTTGGCCATCAGCATGTTCATTGTTTGCATGAAGATTTTCAAATATCATTGTTGTATCCTCATCCAAGGAAGTTGTGGTGTGCCTTGATTTGTTCTTCTGTCAAAACAGTGTCTTTGTAAACAAGAAGTTGTCTCATTAATAAGTCATGCTTTCAAGCCCATAGTTAATGATGTTGAGCTCAGCATCTGAGAGGATTAAAATGTGACATTTAACATTCCCTGAGCCTAATGCTTTCCTGTTAATTGTGAGCTGAACTCCTTCTTCTATATCCACCAATCTCAATCCATTTCCATGAAGATCATTGTCTCTTGTACTCCTGAGATCGATAAAAAGAGCGAATGATTTTCATGAAGGTTTAAACTGAGACTGTCATACTTTTCTCATTTACAGAGACAAGCTTATGACAAAAGAACAAATCAAGGCACACCACAACTTCTTCATAAGAAGATACAAAATTGATGCCCATCCTGTCGAATGAAACCATGAAGCATGCTTGCATGTGCAAAGACTTGAATTTCAGATGATGTTGCGAAATTCAAGATGTTTGTAGAGAACTCTTACAGCAGAGGGTAATGACAACATTTTGCTCTCAGAGCTATAATAATTAAAAATCTAAACATCATGCATCAAATAATTTATGTCAAGTTTATTTAAATCTATTTTCATTCCTTTTTTTCAAAGTTAACTGAAGAGGTCACAAGTACAGGTATCTTATTAAAAAGTTTCAATCGACTAACCTGGTACTTTCAAGCATCCATCTTCTCCTACCTCAATTATACTAGGACGATCAAGCTACAAAAAACCATTTACTAGTTAATTGTTATGAGACATAATGCTATGATCAGTGCCATGATCACTCTCGCCATTTTGCATTGATAATCACCAGATTCTATTTTTCTGTGTGCAATTTCACATTTTATATGTCAACAAAATGCAGAAAGAACAAATCAGGGACACAAGAGTACCAAGCCAGGGTGTAACTGTTGTTCTTACCACATTATGGTATGAGAAAACAATTCTCATTGACATCTGTAATTCCCAAAGTAGAAATCTGTAATTTGTGAAATTGAAACCTGTTGATGATTTGTGAAATAGAAACCTGTTGATGATTTGCGAAATAGAAAACCGCTAATGATTTGCAAAATAGAAATTTGTAATTTGCAAAATAGAAGTCTGTAACTTGAGAAAAAACAATCCCTGTGGAAAACTCCACAGGCCAGAAGAATGGATCAGTCATTTCACTGCAAGTGGGGTTTGGGTTTGCAACCTACCAAATAATAATAACCATACAAGAACTACCGAAAGTGAGAAATGAAAAATTTGTGTGGTGTAGTTTGCAAAATCTCCACTGCATTATCTATGTAAAGGGAAATTTCCACCTCAGGCCTTACTCCAGGCTAAGGCACCATATATTTAGCTGTACTAAATTATAAGGTGTAATCAATGAGGGTAATTGTTGTTGATGAATAATTATAATTCCTGGTGAATGGATTTCATTAACTTGAAAGCTCTGAACTTTCTAAGTTGACATTGTCTTTCCACTTTAAAATTTAAGCATAAGAGAATTTTAAGATAAACTCCTTGATGAGAACTTCAAATCATTTAGAATTAATTTTGTGCATTGCTTCATCCACCAAAGGGAACAATGTGGACTATTAAAAAAAGGAGGGCTGCTATAGAGAGGTTCCAACCAAACAAATTCTTACCCTGCGAGCCGTCTCCCAGCCTTCACCCATATTAGCTGCTAACCCAGGAGCAATAAGATTGCGAGGGTGTCCAAAGTGCATGTCACTCCAACCTACAACCATTCCACCATTCTCCATAGCAGCCAGGTCAACAGGCACCTGTATGGCAAAAATGTGTTTATCCTGCTTAACCATCACACAAGGTGCACTGAGGTTTACAGTTGGCAGTGGTACCGGTAATATTTGTGAATGTTTTGTTCTATCTTCCTATCATGGCTACATCAACATTGACCAATGTGTATTTGACTTTATTTTGTGTCTTCTTTGTGTCTCCTCCGGCCCTGTACCCACACAGCTCTTTTGGATTTTCCAAGGAAGTGGATTGAAATTGTGGGCTTTAGCTTCAAATAACATGCATGAGAAAATGAGTTGGGCCTCTCCATGAATGAAGAATTTCTTGTTTTGACTCGAAGAAAAAAAGAAAGAAATTTTAACTGCAGAATATTTTTAGTTGTTGCCCTGGGTGTACCCTTCTTTTGAATGTAAGTAAATTCCATTTTGGTTGAAATAAAATTCCAAAATTTTCCAAAATTAGTGCTCATATGATTAACTGCTTATGTAATGAGTTTGGCTCTAGGTCACAACACATGGACCCAGGGCAATCAATAAGTAGGTAGTTAACTGTAGTGATAGATATTTCCTCCCAGCCTCCACTTGCCAGTACTAAGAGAAGGGTGGAAGGTTTTAAAATTTATTGATTTTAAGTCTGAGTTTACAATATTAACATATAAAAGAACTGTAGGATGTCACTATTTTCAAAGTAGTACAAATTTAACCTTGTTTTTGTCCAAGTGATTCCAATCCTTGACTGCTTTTCCATACACTCTTAGTCGTGCAACCCCACCATCTATAAAAAAAAAAAGCAAAACAGTAACTTGTGATTATTTATACCCTTAGGGCATAGAATGAACTTGTCTACACTATGACAAACTTGTCCTGGTAAAATATAGATCAATCTGCATTTAAAATCAGATTTCAACTTCTCAATAATTTATAGTATCACTAGGCTCCAGAGAAAGGGCAAAGGTGGTGAAGAATACTCTACAGTCTACATTAGATATGACAGCTTTCTCCACCTCAGCTTTGGTTGGGAGGTTAGTAAGTGTTTGTCATTCATGGAGAAGGGCTGTTGAGAACACTATTATATTCTATGAAGTGTTCAGCCCAGCCCTCTACAAACTCCTCTTTGTCAGTGATCAGGTTATTCCTGTTTGCAACAAGGAGGGGAGATGTTCCTGATGGAGTGAAGCCTACTGAAGCCATAGACAGCCTTGAGCACGCTGTTCAAATTTTTCTGTAGTTTTAATCAGCAAAGGACTGGAAATCCTACAAGTTGCTCACATTAACTTACCTGGATAGATATTAAGTCTGAGATGAGTCCACCTTTGGGAGTTGTTGATGTTGAAAAAGTTATGAGCTGTCGAAGGGTAACCTGGTTGTAGCTTTGTCATTGGTAAAATATATGTCCATTCCTGCATCAGAGAATAAAACAAACCACACACTCAGTTGTGCACCAAAATGTTGTGGTTGATGTGTGAGTTCATTAGTTTATCAATATAAATGTCACATCACCTTTAACCCTTTAACTCCCAACATTGCATTTAGTAATTCCCCTGTCTGTCAAATGATTCTCATTATGTTAGTATGGAGAATTTGGTATTGGATCAATTATTTATCCCATCATTGATATTTTTCTTTATTCTCATCACTTGTACAGCTAAAGTAAGGAGAAATTCTGTCTTGGTCAGTCATGGGAGTTAAAGGGCTAACATATTTTGAAGTGACACTTTTAAGGGCATACATTTAAAGGAGAGTAACAAAATAATCCATTCAAATACTTGATCCTAAAAGAACTCATAATTGTTGTACTTGAATGTTCACATGAGTGTGATTAGATATTTTGAAACATCTTGGGTATTTCACATTTGATACATTGAAACCTAAACAGACCCAACATTTAAGAGGCCTGTATCATTTAAAACAGTATCTGAGAGCTATAGTATCATTTGACACTGTGAGTAGGAGAAATCCATGAAGTTCCTGCACTGGTAATAATTCAATGAAACAGTTACAACGGTAACCTGTGAGTTAAGTGTTAAATCTGAAGGAGCCACTTTCCAGACACCCCGAATGGCAAAGCTCATCTGAAGCCACATGTAGAAGCCCTCACAATCACATTGTCTGTAGCAATGGACATAGTACACCTAGGATAGGGGGCATAATTACAGAGACTGCAGTCTCCCTTATGGGTGACCCTAAAAGCTGGAACAATGGAAGAACGGAATGGCAGAAAATGACCCCAAATCCTAAAACATGGAGTGGGGGAAAATGACCCCAAATCCTAAAACACAGAACAGTGGAAAATGACCCCATATCCTAAAATACGGAATGGTGGAAAATAACCCCAAATCCTAAAACACAGAAAGGATGTCATGTTGCCCAAACTGTTTGTACAAAGGCACTCAAGCGCTTAGCATATTCATCCCCACGACGATAACGTGTGTGACTAAAATCAAGTGTTATTAATTTCTTTTCCTTTACTGAAAGGTATGAATAATAATGAACCATTATGCACAAAAGATGGCTACATTTTCATGTTGTAAACCTGTTTAATTACCTTTTGTTATGCTACATTTACCAAGAGTTTTAATTGCAGCATAAAAAGTCACACAACATGTGAAAACCAACTTGACATACCACATTACAATAAACAATTGTAACTTTGATACGTTTCCTGGTCATGTCTGCATTGATTTAATGAAACAACAATATACATATGCTTGTAAATGTGAGAACATAACAGCGTTTTCAGGCTTCTCAAAAGATAACGACATTCAGCCCCAGCTCCAAACTTAGACTAGCATGCGAGCAGGCCCTCATTATGAGTCCTTCAATACGAATGTTTCTTCATCCACAAATACGTTTTAGGCCTTGAGTAACACTAGGTGAAGAGAGGTTTGCAAGGGGTCCTGCACATGGGAATTTCTCAATGGGTGAAAAGGCAAAAGAAAGTTAGCAGAAGGTAGCCATTAAAAGGAATTTGAAGAATTTCTTCTCGACCAGGTGTCCAAAACAAATCGTCAACTCTAGGGTGTTTAAATTGCCCTTCCTGAAAGGGAAGTATAATTCAGACGGATCTCTGGATTGTCATGGTCTACCATTATTTGCACGGGAACAGTTGCAAGACAAAGAAGAGGCTACCGGTCAAGGATCCCATGGTTTGGTTTTTGTGGCAAGAAACAATTCTGAGAAGGTTGTAATCAAGAAGCTATTAGGTGGAGATGAGAACAAAAAGCTTCTTTTCCCCAAAGAAGCAAAAATACTCCATGGGATTAAAAGTGAGCATAAAGTTAAGTTTAAAGCTGTGTGCATGGAACTGTTTGCAACAATGCTTGAATATTTGTTTTTCGACTTCACTCCCTTTGGCAGCTCAGAAATTGTTAGCAGTCTGGACCAATTTCTTTCACAATTTTTTTAAACAATTTTTTACAACTGAACTAATGAGGAACACTTTGCGAATAGTAGTTGCAAAACTTCTTTACTCTCAGACACATTTCGTCTAGCTGTCGTAGACTTCTTCAGGGAGTTTTACAAGTTGAAACTAAATGCCTGTATTTATAAGCCATAGTTAGAGGCTATACAGGGGCCAGTGACCATAGAGGCTCGACCAAACATACGAACAGGAGCAGGCGAAGTTGTGAAAAATTTGAAAATTTTTTGCACAAGGTGAGAAAAATATTTTGGGGGCCATGGTTTTAGAAGATTTAAAAAAAATTTTAAAAATAAAAAAATAATTAAAATTAAAAACAAAAAACATGACATCAGTTCTGCGTTTTAGGATTTGGGATCATTTTACACTGTTCCATGTGTTAGGATTTGGGGTCATTTTCTGCCATTCCATGTTTAGGATTTGGGGTCATTTTCCACCATTCTACCGTTCTGGCTTTTAGGGTCACTCCTCCCTTATGGCTCATAGAGTTTTGCCTGTCAAACAATTTGCTTCCCTCCTTCCAAGGATTATGGCTATGAAATGGAGACCGAATACTGTAATCCAGATTTATGGTACATGTTTATTTGAGGTGACAGCATTGACTCAAAGTATGGTTGTCAAAATGAAACTAAACTGCCAGTCCTGTGCAATGACAAGGACCAAAAATGATGAATGAAACACTAGGAGGAAGAGATAATACACACTGTCTGACATTAATGATAAACAACCAAGGGCAACCAGCCATCATGATTCAGTTCTGGAACATTCCATACTGCAACCTCACATCAGATTTCAATCTTGAGAAGGTTTTTGAATTGCAACACCAGTCAAGAAAATACTGTGATCAAGTTCAAGGTGAACTCCTTGAAATTTTGAATAAACATTCTGTGGAGAATTATCTGTAGTGTAGACTGATCAAACCCCCTAAGAACCACTCTGTCAAGATTATATGTAATGTTAAAAGCAAATAGCTAGTATGTAACAGAAAAATATGAACAAGTCAAGTGAGGGACCAGAGAAATATCTAGCTCTAGCTGCTCAAAACATCTGGTAGACATGCATGATAAGCATGCAGTACTAGATGCCAAAATGGAAAGGGTTTGGGGTACCACATACACCAGGCCATGCAACCATGCTAAATAGACTTTGCAATTTGAAGGTAAAGACAAAGTGCCATGGTGTCTTATTGGCCTGGAAGTAGTGCTCATGCTGCAAAAAAGGTCAAAGACCTGCTATATGGGAATTGGCACTTCAGACAATACCCTTTGAAATGTAAATAAATCTCTCGACGTCACTGAGACTGTGACATTGAGAGATTCAACAACAATACACTTCACTGTCTAGGAATGTGCAACTTCCATTGGGGAGGGGAAGGGGGGGGGTATTTTTATAAGATGTTGTTCAACTCAAACTGCATTTCCTAATGGTTCCTTAATAGCAGCACCTTGAATGTTATGTGTCAATCAATACTGTTAAGTGACTAGACCTAAGGTTCAGTTGACATGGTGTGAGAGTGATATTCGATCAAAATTTAAATTCATGCAAAATTCATTGCCAGATGGTATAAAATATCTTCGAGAGTGTGAAGTACCTCTGAACAAATGGAGAAGCAAGACCATCAGTGGGAACAGTGTAATCACTTGGTCAAACTAAAGCAGTCACACAAAGGGATCAATGTTGGGCTATAACATAACAACATATGACAAAAAATTGCTCTAGGCCTCTTACCCTTTAAATTTTTATGGAATTTAGGGGTACACAGAAATTGACTCTGTCAATTACTCAAATTATGTGTGGGAAAATGAAGAGTGCTGTTGATCAAATGATGGTTAGGATCTTGATACTTTTGGAAAGCAGTTTTACTGAGGATCTTGAGTGAAAACATTTTATGGTTATTTTCTAATAATTACCTTTCTTTGAAATTTTGATAGCATTAACTAAGTATTTGTTAAAAATACCAGCCAACTTTTGTCTTAAGATGTCAAAATTCTGAAAAACATGAAAACTGATGAAGTGCGTGTTAATTGAGATCTCTTGTACATGTAATTCTCTTGCCATCCAAATAGTGCATTCTTCTTCACCAATAAACTAAAAGTAGGAGTCAAAGTTTACAGATAATGATTCTTTACATACCTGTGTGAGTTGGGCTACTTTTCTTACCCAGTCAGTACAAGCTGCACTTCCCATTATACTCTTTCGTTGTGGGAATATCACTGAATCTGATGTTAAATCAAATAAAAATTCAAAATGAAAATGATAGGTAAGCTTCAACTTACAGCATCTACTTGAATTGTATCTATGAAAGGACATGGTATGGTATGGTATGGTATTTTAGAGGTACTTCAAAAGTTCAGCTTCAAGAAATCCAAGATATTCCTAAAAAATTTTACTCATTCATGTGCCCCTCCAATTCAACAAAACAAATTTTGCTTTAACTTGATTTGGACATAACCTGATTTGTGATGGTTGAGCTCACTGTTAAAACAAGTTTTGCTGGACAAGGGAACCTTAGCTATAGAATAAACCCCTTAGAAAGCCCCAAGAACAAGCCAGCAGCAACAGTTCTAAAACTAACTAACCTGTACTTTACAGTAAAGACGTTGATGCTAGAGATAGCACAAAGATTATTGTGAGTCCTATTTGAAAGACGTTAAAGTCGACTAAACATTTGGAGATGTTATCACAAAAGCAGAATATTCTTCTTATATATTTAGACCATGAGCAATGGAGAGGTATTAGTTTCAAACCCTCGAGCTGTTACATGGCATCTTCACAAAGAGCTGGAGATGTTTAGTCCAAATACTCGTACCACTTTCAAGGCAGGCAGCTTGAATAGAAGCTTTAGGAGGATAGTTGCCTGTGAAGTATGACGTATCAATATCAAGTCCGTGGATTACTCCAGGTATCCCAAGTTTTATTATACACCAGTCATGCCCAGGAATTCTCTTACGCCTTGTTTCCCATCCATCCATCCACTTGCCGTATGATGTGAACACTCCTTCACGCCACTCTGGAGGAGCAAGCTACAAGATTTAACTAAGTTAAATATGAGATACAGCCTTTATTAAGAACTTAGCCTGCAGACTTCAATGAAGCTTTAAAATTTTTGAGAAAGCTGACACAGCCAGCTGAATGTTAATTTTGTGTTGTTGCTATTTCTTAATTAAATTAAAGGTTTAAATAAATTTGAGAAGAAAACATGTATGAGCTGATCTTTCTAGCAGAGCTTAATTTTGTTATCGTCTCACAGTACTTTTCTCTTTCCAGGTGTATAAAGTAGTACCTGCAAATTGTTAGAAAAACCTGGTGAAAAGTGACACTGGGTAACCTGCCATTGAATAGCATCTCATGTTAATTACTTGCTTGTTTTTCTTAGCATTACAAATTATTCATTTGACTCACAATGTTTCTTTTACTTTTTTCCATTTTATTTTAAATTTATTTAATTACAAAAGAAAAAACAGATCAAAACAAAACAAATTTTTATTTTATAGATTCTTTTCTTTTTTCTTTCTTTCTTTCTTTCTTTAGGGCAAAACATATTCTACACAAAGTATATTATTTTAATATATGTTTTATATATGAGAGAAGGACTGGTTTCAGAGTCAAAGGCCCAGGAGACCTGATCCAGCCAGGGTAGAAAAGGCTTCTATTTTTTTTGTGTTGCTTGGTGTCCTGTTTTCTAAGTGGTTTATATGTTTCAGATGAATCAAGAAGTAATGTTTTGAGTTGGATAAAGTTATTTTGATCAACATATCCAAATATACTGTTTAGCCATTAGGCAGCAAAAATTTATTTAGAGTTTGAAATTGGAGCTGTCAAGCCTAAGACTTAAAGCTGTTTCCATGAGTAGTTGGTTGTCTTTTGGGAGAATCTGACAGGACTGAAGCCATGTTGCAAGATTCTGCCACAACATTTTTGTTTTTTTGGCATTGCCAGAATATGTGAAACAGATCTTCTTTTTCGTTATGGCAAAAGTTGCATTTTCTGTCCTGTCTAATTCCTATTTTTTGTAAATAGCTATTTGTCGCTAGCCGTCTATGTAAAAATCTGAAATTGATATCTATTAGTTTTAGAGTTCCTTGTGCACACAGCAGATGTTTGATAGACTTTCCTCCAATCAACGTTTCTATTGGTCGTAGAACCGATATCTTTGTGCCACTTCTCTTGACATGGTATTGGTCATTGGCCTTTATCAGATATAAGTTGATAGTATACAATTCTTGAAGACTTTTGGCTTTTTAAAAATGTATTAAAAAGTTGTGTTGTTTGGATTTGTTGTTGCAAAAGTTTTATTGCGAAGATTATTCCAAAAAACATTAGCTGTTTTATTTGGATTTCATATTTATTTTGAAAGCTGACAAGGGAAATAAAGTTATTAGAATTATCTGTTGAATGTTTTATTTTTGCTACACTCCTGGAAAGCCATTCTTTATATTATACTGTTGCATTGTTTATTCTTATTAATGAATTTTGCCAAAGAGGTAGAGACAAAAAATGGTCCTTGGACACTATTCTTCATTCAAAAAAAGTATCTGACCATATTTCTACAATTATTTTAATATGCGGATCTTCAGCTAAGATTTCCTTTAAAAAAAACCATTGCCTCCATACTTTCCTAGCTCTAAATTAAAGATAATTTTCCATTTGCTACTGTTTTCTGGATCTAGATATTTTTTAATCCAAGTGGCTTTGAGTGACAAGACTTGATGATAGTTATGCAATATCAATATTAAATAAATAACAAAAATCAATATATGGCTCACAATGTTATGTTTCTCCTAACCAACAACTCAGTACTATGGGCATTTTTGTTTATTATACAATTTTCATTTCTATAGAAAGTTTTAACAAGCAAATTTCCCTGATAATCAATAAAAAGATACCCAATATTTACCCAGAGATAAATACTATCTGCCTCTCCTCTTTGAATTGGAATTTAACAAGAGAGCAGAATCTATGAACTCTGATAGATAAATCAGTTAGTAAGTATGGTTATTAATCTTCAAGTAGTGTTCTACATAAATTGGGTTCCGATTGACACTAATGCTTGGTATTTGTAATGTTGCAGCTTATATCACTCACAATTCACCATTGACTATGAACAATTATTATTGATAGAAATCTGCGACATGGTTTGGATTTCCCTGACTTTCCCATAGCTTTTCAGCTAATCAGTTTTCCCCTGGTAGAAATGAAGCTTGAGATTACCTTCAATACATTTTCAGCGACAGCAAACCAATCATCTGTGGCAAACATTATTTCACCTCCCACCTGAAACACAGCAGTCTTGTGTTAGTAAATTCCAGGGTATTATTCTTCCCCATGATTGAAACCCAACCTGCCCTACAAAAAAAAATGTGGTTACCCTGAAAACTTGGAATCTCAGTGGAAGATACACTGAACAAGGTGTTTTTACCAGCTTTTTTTCAGTTAAACTTATCAAAATGTGCTCTTCATAGACAACAGATATTTCAGCAATGTTTAAAAGTATCATGTAACCTCCAATGACACTGCTAACCTTTATTGTCTTAGTTAGAGTTTCACTAAATGTGAGTGGTATGGCCTTCTCTATAACACTTGGTATGGATGTTACTGAAATGCTCAATAATGGAAGTTACTTTGTGGAGCATTTTGCTTGAAATACATTGAAATTCAATGATTTTCATTGTATGACATGGTCACAAGGACATCTGTCATATATGAAAACCTTATCATATTGCTGAATTTCATTGTAGAGAATGCAGGTAACAGCAATTAAGCTATTATCCATGCCAGTATCTTTCTTGTTCTTCTTGACTTAAAGTAAAATTCAAATTTTCGAAATGAGCACTCATCTTCTTGATTTGAATAACTTACATACACACTTGTTCAGTATGTTGGGTAAAGGAGGTCATTAAAGAGGACATCCTAGTCATAATAACTTTATAGTGACCATTAATGAAATTAAGGGAAAAACCCTGTTGTTAAGCTTATTAAGTGTACTTTGTTAAAATTCACAACAGCGGAATGTGTGCCTTGAACTTGCCAGATATAATAATGATTTCATTTATATATGGCCAATGGCCTCTCAAATTTGAAGCAAGTTTGGTTTACCTACTAATAACATACCTAGGAAAATTTCAGCGTACTCATTGGCTGAGAACACGTCAATTAAATCCGATTGAAAAGAAAGCCACGAAAATGGCGGACAGGTCACAAAAGAGTAACAAAGTTTTGAAACAGAGTTTGAAGGAGAGTGCTGAGAACAAAACCACTCAACAAAGTACAAAAAACTGGCTTAAAGTCTGATATATTCCAAATTACTCAAGAAATCATGTCATTCCCCAATAAAAACAATGCAAAGATAACCAAAGTATCGTAGTTTTCACTAGGATTTATTGCTCAAAGATACTCGTAATTGAGTGGTCTAAAGCGGATCAGCTGTTGAGTTCTTACCCTGCTACATGCTAAGTCGTTTAAATCGACGAAGGTCGGAGTGGCCTCACGCGATTTCTTCTCGCCTCTCTGCGCCATGTACTAATTTAAACGATTCGGTTGTGAAATCTGACCACTGTCTCTTTCGTAATGCACGTGACCTAACCAGGCCAACCAGGGTATGCTCGTTCTTCTAACCATTATCACGCGGAAAAAGTTAAAAAAATGAATCATAAGCAGTTACTTATTGACGAACGTCAAGAGTGGCTTCTCTTTTGAAATGGCGGTTATGCTCGACAAGGCTTCTTGAGCCTGCGTTCTTCTGGCCATTATCACAGGAAAAAAGAGAAAAAATTCATGATAAATTTAAAAAGAGATATTAAAATAAAATAAACAAGGAAATAAATGAATGAATATTCACTAAAGGCTTACCATAGGCGAGTGGAATGAAAGGAGATGGAGAGGACAACGCGCTTCGTAAAGAGACCAAGTAAAGGCTTGTTCTTGAGTATAGCTTCTGAGCGCAACTGATAACTTTATAGAAATAAGATGGTGGACTGTCAGAGGAACTTCAAATCCCTTAAGAACTGTTACAAAAACAAGGTGAATAAAGACCATGTGTAGCTTCATTACCCAAAAAGTGTTTTTGAGATGAAAATAACCATCTGAAATGTTTTTCACATACACCTAAGGCTCTTCAAACAAAGGACTTACTGAAAATTATTGCATCCTCCTATCTATCAAAAAAATTTAGGCTGTACATCTAAACACCATGTCGACCACCATGTTTGATCCTATATGGGCTAATATCTCCACGATACACTACGAGGTAACTACGAGGACTACGAGGTACCCCTTAGGTTGCTCTGAGATTTGTCTGGTCTGACGGTCTGGGTCCCCCTTAAGCCAGCAAGAAAGACCGCTGCCAAATTGTGACGTAGTAGTAAGGAGCAAACTAAGCTTGTCGTACAAGGCTGAAGCCGCCCCATAGGGTCTTCTACGATTACGGTTGGCTTCAAAGTATTGGGATCGCCAACTGATCGAATACGGCTTTTAAACGGTGGAGGATCAGAAAGGCGTGAAACTTCTAAGCAGCTGAGACCTAAGTGCGGAGATGAACTACAAGTCGAGTGCCAGAGTGGATTATTTTCTTTTCGCAACGTTCTTCTTGGCTTCGTTATATTCTAAATGTGTGTAACTTCGTTCAACATTCGAAATTAAGTCCTCTCGCGGCTGAACCGGTGAACCTTGCTTTAGAGCAACAAGAGGAAGAAAGAGGTATAGTAAGAATCAAGAGAAAACTCGAGAATTTGGTGAAAGGCATTTCCAATGTCAAACAAACCACCTCAAGACCACAAACCTTCTGATGGGGCTCCTGCTTATGTCGACATCGAGAAACTGAAGGAACCAGAGTGCAGAGCATGGCAAAGTGATATGCTGCTCGCTTTGCAGCAGAATGCTGCCCCTGAGCCAATTCGCTTAGCTTGTATGAAGAACCTGCCTTCCAGACCATCGTTCTTTCAAGAAGAGTTTCATGGCCGCATTCCTCGGGAGGAAGTCGACGAACTACTCTCTGGTCCTAATGGTCCAGTCAACGGAAGATACTTAGTGAGAGAGAGTAATAGCTCACCCGGCGACTACAGCCTGTCCTTAAGTTACGGTGGACATATTCTTCATTATAGACTATTCTACGAAAACGAAAGATTTTTCATCGATTCTACTGATGAGAAGAAATACAAGTCGATCACAGATCTTGTTGTTGATGTGCTCAATATGTTTCGCGTGATTGATGATGTGGATGGACATGTGCCAAAAGAAGAAAAGAAAAAACCCATCGCTTGCCCTCACGTATTCAAACCTTACTCTTACAAACATTTTAAATGGTGCGCATCTTGTGGAGGTTTTATGTGGGGAATTAAAGATCAAGGTATGAAGTGCGAGGGATGTGGCCTGGATGTTCACAGCCGTCCGCGTTGTATGAAGAATGTTGAAGGAGAGTGCCCACTTACTTTACCTTGTAAAGAAAAGAAAGTTCCACGTAACAAATTAAGTGCCTCAAGTTTTCCACCCAAGCAGAGTACTGTGTCTGTTGACACATTCAAAGCTAGTTGTGAATATCAAGAGAGCTGTATTAGATTCCTCAGTTATTTGAACATTCCTTCATGTTATTTTGAAGCAGATGCATTAAATCCCTGTTATTGTGAAGAGTGCTGTCTTGATGTTGAAACACCATTGTGTAAGAGTGGTAACCCTCCCCAAACATACTCGCTGCCTACAGGATGGTGTCGCTTTCAACTTGGGGCTGCTAGTGGGCAGGAAAATATTGTTTCATCAAACTGGAATTTGGCATTTATGTCTTTAAACCCAAAGGAGGTTGTCAAAGTACTTGAGTCAAATACCACAGATAATCATTCAGAAGACCTGAGTGAGGATGGGTCTAAGCCATTGATAAAGATGACACCTTCTATTATATGTGCTGATTTGGATGCACCAAAATTAAAGTACAATGACACTGAGACTGGCGAAGTCAAGGCAGGCCAAGTTGTCTTGCAAGCTTACATTGAACCATACTCGTACCAAATGATGCGGAGACCAGGAATGAATGATGAAATTGATCCATATTTTAAAATGGACACTATATATTGGGTGACAAGGCAAGCTTCATCCATTTTACCATTTGCACTGCTTGTAAAGACCATGGATGCAACCTACTTGAATCTATGAATGCAAGTAGTTTATCTTTTTTTTTCCAGGATGTGCTCACTGCTATACGATATACAATTTCCCCGATAACTGAATAGCCAAAAATGAGTTGTCTAAGTGATGCTCAATCACTGGATGCAGCTTTATAATTACAATGTTAGCTCATTTGTTGTAAGGATGCAACAAGCAAGAGCATCTCTTGAGTAATCTTCTTATGTACTGTGCATCTAAATTATCAGCCAACTACAACTGATTCAAAGCAAAAGACCTTCAGTTCTACTGGAAGATTGTCAAACTTTGTCAAGGTAATGCAGTCATACAATTTAAGTGACATGCAGTCATTCAACAGCCTAATATATCCTGGGCTTTAATTCTGTTTCATCAATGGAACCCTTATGTGATGCACCCCACAGTGAGAAAAAATGTTATACAGAGAATGTGTTCCACCTAGGGAAGGTCGGTTATGTTTTAAAAAGAACATACATTTAAAAAAGCCAAGCACAGTGAACAATTAAATTAAACATTGGTATCACCATCTCGATTCTGATTGGCTTTGAGCATGAAGTTGACTTTGCTTTAAATTTTGTTTTAAATAACAAATACAGTCCATAAGCCCAAATTTAATTTTACGAAAGAGTTTTGAGGTTGTCAAAATTAATATTTTCACTCAGTGCGTGTTACATCTAACATTCTGGCTCATTAGGTTAATTCTTTCACTGCCAAAATGAACATGCTACTTTGGGTGATCATAAAATTATTTGCCATCTTTTTGTGAGGATGAGAAGTTAAATCAAGGCAATTTCTGAATTATTTTAATATTCTTCATTTTTCTCACTTGGTTGCAAAAATTGTAAGGCAAATGTATCAAATGATCATCCTTGGGAGTGAAACGGACTTCCATTTTGCTATATGCCATTCTATGGCACTGAATGTTGAGTGATGCAGTAAATTACAATTCAATCCCAAGGTAAGATAAAGAGTGTTAAAAATTATCATTTCATCTGGACAGAAAGACCAGGTGTGTCCTCACTTTATTTTATAATCAGTTCGATCAAACCATACTTGTTTGAAGTAGCCACTCAGTGGTTAAACTCAGTTAATTCAGAGCAATGGGGGTGATGAGTTTAATTGTCTGAGTTGAGAGAGGAGTTGCTGTGAACTGTGTGTTATGTACTAAAATACTATAATTAACATAATGTAGCTAAACTGGAACAAGTCGTCCAGGAGAATATCCAGATCATTAACATGGTAGATATTTACTCCTCACATCCAGTGTCATGTTGTCAATTGATTTGAATAATCGCATTAATTCGATATAATGGCTATTTCACCTTCCTTAAGTTTCGTGGTGACCCTACCTTATTATGGAACTGTCTACTGCATTAATGGCTACTTAATTATTATACTTTTACATACTTGCAAATGAGCACATTTTGAACAGGTCAGTTACCTTGATGTAAATGTGTACAGAATAGAAGCTAAGGTCCGCCCATTTGTGTGTATAAAAGGGTTTGATGTACTCATAGGGAGATCTTGATCAAGCAAAGTAGAGGAGAACGTAAAGAGTGGAAAGTAGTAAGAGCCACATCCTCATATAAGATGTATTCTTTACAAATTAATTAACTGTAGAAAATAATCAGATGGTTAGTAATTTCCTTTTTTCTTCTTTAGTGGCAGCACACACTGGGAGAGAGGCACTAACTTTGTATCAGTCTCAAGATCCCAGATTTAAGCAGGGTACCTATGTTAAAGATAGGACACACTAGAGCATTTAAAATACAGATGTTTGATTCTCTAGCATGGATGAACTACATTTTGCTTAAGGCACATTATCAATTATCACACATCAAATTCTATAAAAAAAGCCTGATCATTTTAACAGTGGTCATGTGAATGAGAGATTTTTATGATTTCAATTTTTAAGGGAATGCCATGATTTTATCTGGTAATAGGCATTTTTATTATTTTTTTAAGAAATAAATGTGCATAAGCATCAACTTTTAAGGCCTCAAGTGCATCTTTTCATGCACAAGAAACTTTTCTCAGTTCTTGTGATTTAAAAGGAAGCAAATGTTTGCAGAATGGTTCAAAAAATAAATTCCAATTGTTATGGTAGAAATTTCACTGAAAAAATTATTCTCACTCTTTTGACAAAAAGCCATATTTGAAAGAAATCTCAAACAATTGGAACATGAAAAAGTTATAATTATTCTTATACAAATATATTAGTAAAGAAATATAATAAATAAACAGATGATTACATAACCTACCAAAAATAGGAAACCAATGTCAGTAAAGAAAAGCTGATATACTCTCTTGACAGTACATAATGGATCTTAGTGTAAAGTGGGGGACAAAGTGTTGGAAACAGGCTCCTGAATTTAGAATTTGTTCATAAATCCATACTTAAAAGTCTGATCAATGAGGTCTATCAGTTATGTCATGGTGTCTTTTGGCTATTGAAATTTGTACAGAAAATCTACCCATGAGTGTTTAATTTTATCTCCAAAGACTTTGTCTTTAACAAGCGACCATCATTGTGTGACTAAAAGAGAGGTAATTGCTTGCAATAAATTATTTGCATGCAAGAGTAACATTTGGAAAGGTGGGGCAGGACACTGACACCTCTTTGGTGCAGATCTACCCCATCGGAGTTATGGTATGTGTATTTGTAGGAGAGAGGTGGAGGGGGATTTAGGAGTCTTTTTTCCTCTCTTCCCACCCAGCCTACTGTCCTCTCTGAGATATTCCTTTCTCTTCTCAACTTTCTAAATAAAATGACACAATGGAATACTTATGGCTCATTGACAAAAAATATCCTTGTACAGCAAACTGAATGCAAACTCAATCAAGATCCTGAGCCCTGATGCGACATGCTGCTTAGCCAGCCATATCTTTACTTCTTTAGGGTTTGGAAGCAACTCCTGTCAAGAAATTGAAACCTTATTTCTGCCTTTTTTTTTGAATTGATAGGTTTTAACTTTCTTCATAATTTGTATTTTGAAGGGTTTGATAGATAAATTTAAAAGATGTAGGCCCATTTAAATAGAGAGACAATAGTTTAATGAGTGTGTTGCAATGTACAGATTTCCTTTTCTCAATGTTATACCTTCATAAACACTTTCAGTGTAAGTCACATCTGTTACACCTTTGAGGTCTGATATCTACAAGTCTGTACAGGAATTAAAAAATCTTGCACTGTATCAATTATTTGGTACTATTTTCTACTATTCAACTACTCCAGCTGTAAAATATAGCTTGCCAGCAAACTAGACTGATTTCCTCAAAATTATTTGCTTTTAACATTAAGAAATCTATACTCAAAATTTCTTTATCACAATTAACAAAAAATGAGAATAAAAAGGTGAAATTAAAAAATCCAAAACGGAAGATTATAAAAGTAATTGATGCAGCATAGGCGGGTGCTACAAAATACAATCAAAGTATGCGAATGCATAAAAAAATTCCACACGGGAATCTAGTAACATGTAGAGCTTTATGATGAGCTTCGTCAGGAGCCCATTACTTGATCATTCAACTGGATCGAGCATTCCAGACTGGAGACCACTAACGATTCCCTTTAAATTAAAATAAAACATATTACTATAACAGACATCTTCGCAATTTTTGGAAACCATTTCCAAGGTTAAAGCCCGTCATTTTTCTAAAACTCTCACGTAAAACCAAGCATCAATGACAGCTGCAAAACTTTAACCATTGATAAATTAAAAAAATTAATGTGAGAACAGGAAGTGTTGCCAACTTCTAGGTAATTCGGCTGTTTGATTAGTACGCGACAGAGATCATTGAATCGACATGCCATCGGCGTTTTGGTTTTCTATATTGAGTATGATGGCCGTATTACGGAGTACAATTATAAGGGATTCTACTGTTTGGGGTTTTAAAATGTGGCTGTTGGCCGCATTAATGAGTGACCGCGTAAACAAGGGTTTTCCTGTTGATAAGAAAATGAGTGTCCGTTTAGCCGAGCTATTAAAAAGCGGCCATAATAACGAGGTGGCCGTAAGGCAGGGTTCCGCAGTACATCCTATAATTTATTATGACTACAAGTTTTCGCACGTAGTTGTTGCTTAGATAAATAAGTTTGCTTTTTCCGTGCTTTACCCTTACCCCAGTGGTGTATTCGTCGAGAAAGCTTCCAGGTACGAGTCCAAGCTCTCCATTCACTTCAGCTTGATAAAAGCCATCAGCGCGCTTAAGGAGAATAAAGAAACGAGAAGAAAAACAAATGTTTAAGAATTATGAACAAAATTTCCCAAGGAATTCTTATCTACTTTAAATTTAGATAATTGCGGAGTTTGCTTTGGGGCTTTCGCTACGACGTTTCGGTTTACAGAAGCTTGCAAATACCTATTAATACGAGGCTGCGCTTGAAAACTTCACACTAGCTGCGCAAATCATTATTTTCTCCAGTCATGGAAAACTTCTCGAACACTTGAGAAAAAGACCACCTTTTCTCTGTAAAATGTCGAGGATTGTACAATAAAAGAAATGATAGGTATGCAACGAACGAATTACAAACTAAAGATAACACAGAATGTGATCTGCTGTAGTCAAACGTGTGGTACATAAGTGTAAGCCCGAATTTTAAGGGGGTCATCTGTACTTTATGGTCCTTTTTCTCCCCTTGGTAATAAAGGAAACGTCATTCCTGCTATAAACCGAGATCAATTGTGAAGGAAAACTTATTAAAACTATCAAAGAGAATCTCGCTCTGGTAACCTTACTGCGGGCCACTCCAATACTTTAACATTTATATTATTCTCCTTTAGAAAACAAAAACTTCTCTACCAGGGAAAAAAAAAGCCTTAACCTTCCAATTAAGTGTAACCTATAACTTTGTCTTTATCAAGAGAAATTGGAGTATTTGTATACAAAACCATGTTGCACGCCGCAAATTGAACAGCTGAACTTCATGGGGCCAGGCTAAGAAAGAAAATATTCAGGTCGGTCTTACACCACTTCTCCTGATGTCGTTTCGTGGTCAGGTTTTTCCGCAACATCATAAAATCTTCCACTATTTCCGTTGTTCGAATTTAAATTGTTAGGGCTTCTTGCTACTTACCATGTCACCAAAAACAGTAAATATTTGCCCCTTCTTCAACGGGAGTTCTGAATCTGGGTTATCTTGCGGTGATTGCACCTCTGGGTTGTAATCATAGAGGGCCACCATCATCTACACAAAAATGAGATGAAAATTTCAGCACCGAATCCACTGCATTGCTCCTCTTGGATATTTTCCCTCTCCCTTTTTACTTTTTCTAAGTTATTCACCTACTACCATTTATTAGTGGGTGCATATTTAGGGATTTCTGACTAGGAATTGACAGTAATTGTTGAGGGAGGCATCGTGGTCTATTAGTAAAAGAGAAGAGCGCACAAAAACTTACTTCAAACCACAAATCCCTGAAAAATTTGGATCGGAACCGAAAGTTGCTCACCAAACCAACGAAACCGAAAACTTACCATCCAAACCAAGTTTCCAAGACCCTAATCGACCTGATTTATTGGAAACGCATGGAGCTTACAGAATGAACTGAATCAGTTTCATCGAAGTATTTGTTGACGTTGAGGTCATGAATCCCTCGCGGGAATTGTTGTACGACATCCCAGAACTAAATGGCTGTGAAGGACACAAATATGTCCTCTAATCTCTATTTAGAATTGAAAAATTTCTAGAAATCTTAAAAAAAAAAAAAAAAAAAAAACCGAAACGAAGGAAAAAAAAACTGCCAATTGTAAGAGAGACCAAAACCAAAGAATACTCCGAGATATGGAAATTCTCTTGACCTACCTTTCTATTCATTAGCACAGGATTCTTTGCTCCGACAGTTGGTGAACCGATACTTTCAACTGAACTGATGTGTCCTGATTGAGGCCTGATTGTGGGACTGGGAGGAGCTGCTTTTCGTCTCTGAAGAGAGAAAAGAGAACTGACTTGCTGAAAGAGCATGCATCTACATCACTTTAACTTTTTAGAAAATAAAACTGCGAGTCCGTGTAAAAAATTATAGTTTTCACGAACGCATTTGATAGTTTTTAAAGATTTCAGTTAGGCAAGAGCACCATTGCAGTTTTATAGCTGGGAGCGTAATTAGCGATGAAAGAATGATGACCTACGATTACTCCTACAGACAAAAACTGTCTCTCGTTACCGAGCTGACTGGGAAGTCAGATTGTGTGACAGCATTGCTCAAGAAAAGCTGTGAGCAACAAAGTTTACCGCCAATAAATTGAAAGAAGTGGTATTGATCTCTTTTACATGAGATGGTCACTCCTGTGAGAATCTGACTTATAAAATGCTACCCCTTTTGAGTTTTACGTTAAACACAGGACGCACAACTAATAACAGGAAAACAGATATTGTGCACAGAAAAGTAATTCACGATTCGTGACAATTACCTTAGCAGCGGCCAGTCGCAGAGGTGAGGCCACAGCTACTTCCTCTATAAAGTTGGATGGGATCAGCCCTTTTCTGTTTTTCAGCTGTAAAGTCAGAGACATGTCCTCGTCAACGTGCTCGAACATTTCAACAGTGTAATCTGAACTGTTGGTTACCTCCTTCAAGAACGGCCGCCAGAAAGGCCTCCTGGCTAACGAGCTCCAAAGGATTACCATAAAATTCAACACATATTACTGATTGGTAATCGATTTAGTTGTGACTTGTATGCGGAAATGAAAAGTAAAGTAAGAAGAAACTAGCCTTAAGATTTAAAAAAATGCCTAATATAGTAAATGTACGACAGAAAAGCATCTGACTATGCGAGACCCCGAATTACAAACACTTTCAGTACCTTTCCTACAAAATAGCCGTCCTTTCTGAAAGTGTTAAACACTTTCAAGATGTCCCCTTCTTTGAAGCTCATTTCAGCAGCAGGATTTTGATTGGGTGAACTTTTAAACGGATCGTAGTCGTAAAGAGCCACAAACTGAAAAGACAAGCAAATAACGGGGTCTGTCATCAGAACACGAATGTCCATCACGCACTTGGAACACTACACTCAACCTAAATACATTTTGTTACAAAGTAAGTTCTCATTGGTGACAGATTCATCAACATCAAACCGAAGGAACATGGCACCTAACCATTTTAAAATCAAATATCTTTCTACGCTTTCCAGACTAAATCGAAAGGGCATCTAGAGTAACATTACTAGAGTAGTCAATCATACCGTTCTGTATTGCTGCTCATTTTCCAAATCCTTTGAAAACAGAAACAAAACAATTCATGATTTACAATTCAAGTTATTCGTACTTTAGTCGTATAAAATTGGTTGACTTTTTCGAGATTTCAACCCCTCTATTAGTATACCCAACTGAAACCAGGATACACAGGCGGCCTCATATATCTGTTGATCTCGACAAAAAGACGGAACATAAAACTATCTCTTCAAAAGAAAATCCAATGAAATTGAAAATACACGTAGAAGGTTCAGAATGCCGCCTACGGCAAAAGACAAATGAAACTTCTTGCTGTCTGCATTCAGGGATGATTTCTCAGTTACAGGGAAAGTGAGAAAAATTAGAAATTTATTTTTGCCGCAAGAATTAAACTCACTATTATCATTAAACGGCGCCTAAGAAGACATAAAGCATGTGGCACTACATCAAGTACAGACGGACGCCACACGTGAGAAAAAGACTCGTCTTTAGTGAGGGAAAGTCAAGTTTCTGATTTCCTTCAATAGTTTTCTCTCGATTTCAAGTGGCCTGTCATTTCTAAGCGTGGGGCGAATCAAAAAAGTTCTCTATAATATACAAGGATGGTGCCTTTAATAAAGTGAATTTTGCACTAAATAGCTATCGATAATAACAGAAAAACAAACCTCAAAGTATTCTTCACGCGAATCCTGCCAAAAAAAAAAGAGAGTTCACAGCTTAAATGCCAAAGCGTTGCTTTACAAATTAAAACAAAAAACAAAACAAAGCAAACAAACATAAACTGATCTAATCTCCTGATTAGTTTTTGTTAAAGAGATAGTCAGTACCTAAAATATGTCCACCATATTCATATCAGACGAGAGAGAACACGAACCAATAACTTAAAAATTTTACGCAATATTTAACTAACAATCACTGAGCTTTAAAATATCCCTCAATAAGAGCACACAAAGGAGCTAAAGGTGTTCTTAGGCACATCTAAAGGAATCAATGTTTGACCCTACAAACAAAAAAACAAAGACCAACTGCGTTTCCTATGAAGAGGACTCGACAAATGACACTATATCGACTAGTTACGCTCATCTACTAGTTCCTTACCAACAAGCTTTCTTTGATTGTGTCGTTAAATGCTGCTGACACAGTTTCAGAAGATGTGCCATTTTCAGCCACAGTCTTAATACTGAATTTGATCGGCAGACCAAGTTCAAGACCCTCGACCAAAGCCTAGTAAGAAATATTAGGCAAAAAAGGTTACAGCAGAAGACATAATGAAAAAAAATACATCTATAGTAGTTCATTAGCAATAGTAAGAAAACTGACGGGGTAATCGAATGCTATGATCAAATTGTAAAGAGAAGACCAAGCGGAAACGTTTAGCGTAAAGACACACCGGTCCGTCATACCTTCGCCATGTAGGGGCTACGAACGTCTAGCCTCACGTCGTCATTCGCATAAATCTATCAACAGAGAAACAGACCATAATTACACAAACATTTTTTAAACCAACTTCATTGAGTAGTCAAGATAAACTACATATAAAACGAATGTACCTACCTTATATCCCTTCACAGAGAGACCGCTGCTTCTACCAAACTCGTCCATTTCCGGTAGAGTCCATCCCACCAACATAGCATCGTGGTTCACCGGTCGTATACATCGAAAGTTGCTTGGAGCACTAGGGCGAACTAAGAGAGGTGGCAGAAAGACGAAACAACCTCATTACTAGCCAAGCATGTACTGGGAGAATTGAAGCCAAAGATTTTAAGAATTTGGACAAAACGTAATAAGGTCAGTGCAAAAACTTAAAACAAAAGACTCTAAATTTTAATTCTTGGACTCCTTGTCTTTCATCTTCTTCGCGTGCATTACAACACAAGCTCTTCTAGCATGCACTGGAGAAGGTGTATTTTTTAAAGCTTTTTAAGCTCACTGCTCAGTATTTTTAAGTCAAAGAAGTTTACAGACGTTTACCTCAAATTAATTGAAAAAAAGATTCTTAACTAAAAATCTTAACTCTGCTTTTCCTAGATGCGGCTCGAGAGACGTTAGAGCTTCAAATGATACGTGAAGAAAACGTCTCACCGACTTCTGTTTTTCACACACTTCGGTATCTTTCTCTTAAAATAAAGAACGTTAGGCTAAAAGACACTGGAGAGGTTAGAAAACAAAGATTCTCACGGCGTTGTAATAAAAATAGGCAGTTTGACGCTGTATGTGGCTACTGATGTAGCTCAATTTTTTTAATAGCATTTAAAAGAACTAGAGGTTATAAACCGATACTAGAGGGTAGTGTTGCAGAAGATTTGTCCCACATGCAAAACAGAAAACCTGCCGCATCCCACATATTTATGAGTACCCTGTTCCCCAAGAGAAATATGATTCAAGAATATAGTGAGTACTTGACACTCAACCAATAATTAAATGTTGACAAATAATAATAATAATAATAATAATAATAATAATAACATCTTTTGTAGTATCACGACAAGAACTGAAAAAATTATATCTTCGGATCTACAGGGCATAACTCGCTGATTCAATCGGTAAAATGCTCTCTCTTCAAAGGAGAAAAATTTCCTCTAAGATTCCATGATGCACCGATCACACCCTTATAGATATTTCTGCAAGGAAAAGCTTTGTTTTTCACGCTGTTTATCATCTTCTGTAGTAATACGAAATAAGCAATAAGTAGCACCGGGAAACATCGGGTCAAATTGGGTCAATATCGGAATCCTATTGTTACCGTCACTCACTCACTTACTCACTCACTAGCTCATCTCGACGACATATGTGGCGTCGCTTACTATTGGAGGCAGTAAATACGCCCTTTGGAACTTTACAGTGTATCGTCAAAACTTGTCACCACATTTTTTTACGTCAGTACTACTTCAGGAAAACGTCTGATTAACGCTACATTAAGACGAGAAACCATCACTCTGCAAGTGCAACTCTACCTCTATTTGATATCACATGAATGACTCGTACCTTTTTTAGACAGTGACTTGGTTGACACGACAGGAGCAATCTGTTTGGGGGTTGCGGGTGGTGTCGATATTTTGTCTGGTTCTTGAGAGGACAGCGGAACTAATTGTTGGGAGGACTGTGTCACAGAAGTCATGACACCAAGCATATCTACGTCCGGTGATGGCTTGAATTTTGTTAATCCCACATTGGGTAGTTTGTTTGGACTGCCGGGAAGACACGTATGAGTTAATGACGATTGAAGGCCGTTGGAATTACCATAGTGAGTTAGTGACTTCATGCTTCCCATCGATGGTAGCGGTGTAGGATAGTCTGAATTCTGTGTTGAAGAAGCTGTAACAAGCAAAAAGTAAAATGACAAAATGAACTGTTTCCAAGATGCCAAATCTCTTTGTATTACAACCAGGGTAAGTGCGAAGCCTTTGTTACGAATGACTTTTTGCTTTATTGCATTTTTTTTTTGATGATGGCTTCGTCCTGGGCCTTGTTTTATAGGTGTCATTTTCTTTTAAATCGGACATAAGCTATTAAACAATACGTCTATATTGAGGATAAAACTTAAGATGACCAAAGAGAAACCCTAAGCAATTACAGAACAGAGACCAGCCCTTGACTTAACTCTAGTTACGTCTTGCGATTCCGGCGGCTTGTTACACCAAAGTTGATCACGGTGTCATTGTTATGAGGCGACATGCTACTCCTCCTCGTGGATAACCCCTGAATTTGTCATGAAACCCTGTCACTTTGGAGGTGCCCATTATAACCCTAAGTGGAGACAAGCACTCTAAGAGTGTCGAGTGTGAAGCACAATAGCCCAGCAAAGGCTCCAATCCAGGCTTCTTATGCATTTAGAACTACAGATGAGTCAAAACTGCACACTACCGATCCACTAGCTTGTTCGATGTAACTTCTTACAAACTCAATGTAGTGGCTTGTGAAACTCACCTTCTGGTTGTCCTCGTCTGGGATAATTATTTAACATTCCTAATATTTGCTCTGGAGCTCGTCTGTTCACCTTGTAAATGATAAGAACAAAGAAGAAAAGTACTTCGTCTTAGAGATATTGGTGAAAGAACATTTTTTTCTTGTTTCGGAAACACGGAGAAGATGTCAGTCTCGTAATGGTCATTATATTCCTTTCACACTTTGAGGAAGCTTTTCTGTATACTGGGCTAACGTGCATTCGGTGTTCTCGATGCGTTTCAAAATTGTCTTTGATTCAAATATCCAACCAATATTTATGTATAATAAAAGGATATTTCATTTCCGTATGTGGAATGAGTTTCTTAATATTCAAAGACAAAATTCGCATCCATGTGCGGCTAAGAAATATCCTCTGCTCCCTGATTAACATACTTAAATTATTTGACAAACTTACAGGTTGCCGCGATAAAGATGAAGATTCGTTTTCCACCATCTGTCCAGGAACAAACCCTGTTTGGCCTTACGAAAAGGTTAAATGAAAATACATCATTTTAATCTCTCCTGAATTATTGAAGGTGGACAATACACTGATTATAAAAATTACATATAAAAACACGATTTAGGGGAAAGGTGTATTTTCTACCCATGTGCATAAAAAACCACAAAAAACAACAAAAAAAGGGGGTATGTGTAGAAAACAAGGGAGCTAAACGGAGCCAAGGTAAACGTATAGCAACGAAATGTGCAATTTGTATCTCGAAGAAACCTATCAACAAAGTTCATTATGAAGATGAATTCAGTTAGCCTGCCTTAGTTACTGTTATTTGAACAACTTTGTATTATAACTCCTTTTTGACTGGCTTTTTGACTGGCTTTTTGACGGAACTAAATAACATATAACCAATCGTAAACTCTCACCGTTCAGAAAAACGCGGTAAAACCCATTTGCATCCTGATCTTCCAACGCCGTCATGACATCACCCTTCTTCAGCGTCAGTTGATCGTGAGGCGGCCATCCACGGACACCAGAGCAAAAAGGATCGTAATCGTATAGGGCCACTAGGCACCGACGTTTCTCAGGTTCCGCAGAAGAGGCCCCTGAAGATGAACTACCACGGCGGCAGGAAATGACATCTGGGTACAACTGTGGAAAAAAGAAACTATTCAATAAATAGATTGTTTCATTTTTTTTTCCGCGAGATATTTGCAAGAAAGCTTGTTTAGAAATGTACTGCGACTTCGTCAGCAATGATGTTAGCATCAGGAACTGTTTTTTTTCGCATTCCGTAAAAGAGTCACGTGTTCTCCTCCACAAGGAATTCGATTTGTACTAAGTCTGACGGTTGTTTCATTCCCGTTTTCATTCTAGAAAATAGAGGCCACCAAAGTGAAACCCTTTCCATATACGAGAACTTTATTAGTGAAACGTTTTTTCTCGTCACAAAATATATTGTCTGGTGCCATAAAAAGGAAGAGCATGAGTCAATTAACACCGCCGAGATAAATTTCTGTATAGTAAGTTTCCTATGTTCGGTAGAGCCACGAGCGAATGGTTCAGAAGATTCGATCCCGTAAATAAATAGAATTTTAACACACCCGCACGAATAAAAGAATAACAACAAAAACAACCTTTTACCTGTGCCCTTTCGTTTGACAAAATTGTTCCAAAAAGTTAAAGATAAGTGGAAAAATAGAACTTGAAGTTAAGACGTTCTTTCAAAAAAAAGATCAGGTTTTTTGCATCTTGAACAATTTATTGTCATTGAAATCCACGCCAATCTCCACTGTCTTCACCAATCGCTTATTCTGGTTAATTATCCTGTCTCTTTTGCTTCTTCTCTACTATAGTGAACTTCTTTCGGAAGACCTCCTTGAATTTAAAGGTTATTTTCTTCTGATACTAATGAAGACTCAAAATATTTTATCGTCTTCTTTACAATCTCTATCTCACCTGAATTTCCTTGCTCCTGTTCAAAGCACCATGTTTCAGAGGCCCCGCCACCCTGTGAGAAATTGTCAACTGCTCCTCTGGCGCAATATCAGAATCATTTGCATCCTCGACTTCTTCCACATATAAACTAGGAACCAGGCCTCGTTCCCCGTTCAAGTCCGCCTCTAAATACCCATTGATGTCCATATCACCAAAAACTGTCAGGAGATCTCCCTCTTTGAGTTTGAGCTCCAAATCAGGGTGTTCAGAAGAAGGTGAGCTATGTGGGTCGTAATCAAACAACGCAATAAAGCGCCTAGCTTTTTTGCTTCCAGGTGGTGAAGGTTCGAACATCTTGAGGAGAATTAAAAATGTCTGTTACAAATAGCCAATCATTTGATTCTTCTAAAGAAAAGCTAAGTTGAATAAACCGACAAAAAGTGCAGCAAGTATAAGGCTTTCAGAATGGCGAACCACCATAGTTACATAGTTACTTTTTGCATTCATCTTTGCATCCATTACATGCCATTTTTTTCGAAAAACGCGGCTTTCTTGTTTCTGTCGTTCAAGGGGGCCATCAACGCACCCAACAAAATGATCGACTGTCAGCACTACAAACGTCACATAAGGAGAATACATTCCACCCTCACAACCACGCAGTTAAATCCATTACTCCTAAAAGCTTTAAATTACTTCAAAATGATTCAGAGACAGGTAGTGTTGTCGGTAGTTGTCGATAATTGTCGGTCACTACCGACAACAGTCCTTCTCAGTGCAACACTCACCCGAACGATCAGTCTACACTATCACGTTTTATCATAAGCTTTTCAACATGAAGCGAGTTTTCATCAATCAACCAGGGAAAGCGAGGTGCTGTATGCCCTTTTGAAAACAATGCGGAGATAGTTTCCCAGAATTTATTTACAGCCTTTCCTTTACTACAATCCTCGTCAAAAGGATTGGGATACCCCTCTACTTCATAATATTATCTTCCTTCTCTTATTCAATGTTTTTTCATTAATAGACACCGCTTTTTCTGAAGACTTTGGTAAATATTGTCATTATGTTGTATCAAAAAGTTGAAAGCGTGCTTTTCGGGCCCTTCCAGGTTTCCTCAAAGTTCACTTCCATTTCAAAGACCAATCAATCAGCCAATCAATCAAACGCCGAAGTTGAATGGGAGAGAGGTCTTTAATCCAGAAATGAATATGATCACTCAGAGTAATAAACTATCTCGTGAAAGCGCGTTGGCCAAATAAAACTATTACATTGTAACTAGTAACTTTCACAGACCTTGGGAACTTGTTTAGCGATCTGTTTCTTTTGTTCCCGATGGGTAGACGACTTCGTGAAGTTGTCGTGCGCGTAACCGAAGCTGCGGATTTTCGAGAGGTCGTCGAGAGTAGATGTTGATATGAAATGACGTAAATCGCGAATTTCTTCATTTAGTTTCTCGACAAGATCGTCTTTTTCTTTACACGCTCTCCTAAGCAAGGAAACCTTCGCCTAGAAGTGGGAAAGAAAACAAAAATCGTTTCATTGGCAGATCATCGATTGGAAGGCAGGCACATAGATAGACGGACAAACAAAGAGGTAGAAATAGAAAATACACATACAGGTGATCTCAACTTTTACCTTTAGAGTTGGTATTTGCATCTCAGCATCATCTTTGTGACGCGTAGATTCCGCAAGCTAGGAATAAAAAATCCACATCATCAAAGACTTATCCAACTTGGAAAGGGTAATGATTCCATTGAATTCTTTCGTTGACCTGATTTTTACCTTGGTGGTAAAGACTGTAGACTCATGCCGCCTTAAGAAAGTTGCAAACTCACCTTAATTCGAAGAGAATGAAAACTGTCTTCCAATTTAACGTGATCCCTGTAAAAGATGCAACACATTGCGCTAAGCGAACTCTTCAATATTCTGTCTTGTGTAACATACATGCACGTCAATCTCAGTTCCAAAACCTCAAAATGGGATGACTTGCACTCAATCGTTAAGACTTGAAAATATAAAACTCGGTTTCCGGAATTACGCTAACGTTGACCGGCAAAGCTGATAATAGTCTTGTCTGATAATACTACACGATACCTATTAAGGTCTTGCAATTCTGCTACTTGGTTTTCTAGTAAATTTCGTTCTTGTGTCGTGAGGGCAAGTCTTGTTTGCATTTCATTTCTTTCAGCCTCCATTTTTTCTAGTTGTACTTTGAGGAAGTTTCTTTCGTGTTGACTATCGTGCATTTTTGTTTGGGCTTCTCTTACGTCATGTTCCAGTTGTGCCAGCTAAGAAAAGAAAAAAAAGAAGAGTGATAAATTGGTAATGCTCTCATTCCAACTTCAAAATTCCATGGGATGACCACATTCCGAAATGGTCTGCTAAAACTGAAAGACAATGTTTCGCTTGAGACTCTTGTCAGTACGACAATCAAAGAAAGGCACGATCAAATAATAACGTTTGTTACTTAAAATGACTCCGAGCTTAAACATTATTACGTTTTCTGCATTTCCAACACAAAAAAAGACACCGAGTGAATGACTTCATTGCGGAAAAACATCTAACAATGTTAGTCACATGATCACAAGAACAAATGAGATATTAATTAACACTATTTTTTGTAGCGAAAAACAGCTGGTGAGAGGAGGAGAGTTCATAGCTCACCCTGGTGTTTAAGGTGCTATTTGTCTTTTGTAACACGGAGCATCTGCTCTTCAACTCATCTCTTTGCATCTCCATAAGCTTGTTGTTACGTAGGAAATCGTTTCTCTCTGTTTCTACCATCCTTCCTTTTCTGAGCAGGTCATCTCGTTGATTCTCAACCGCTTTCATTTTTTCGATCAAGTTGTTTCGATCTTGTTCCAGGACGTCCATTTCTTGTAACTGAGCCTGAAAACCAGATAACAAATTACGCATGGAGTGGCTCCACGACATAAAGGCTACAAGAAAAACAAAACAGTTGATCGATGGACACTTTTAAAGAAATTTTATACATACCTGTAGTATTTGAATGCTATGTTCCAGTTTCTTAAATTCTTTCTCACTTTTTTCCAACTTCTTCACCTGCAAAGAATGTCGCAAAAAAACAAAAAGAAAAAATGAAACTAATCCATAATCGGAAACTAAGTGAGGTCAAGTGACAAGAAACATGACTATTTAGATTATTGGAACATCCGCAAGATGAACAAGATTGTTACCTTTTCACTTAGCTCAAAGTTCTGTTTTTCCATTCCACTGTATTTGGTTTGCAACTCGGCCAGTTCTTTCTCCGCACCATGTGTACTTTTAAGCTGGTTCTTTGAAAAGGAAAGAACAATCCAAAATTAGGCGCAAAAGTCGCTGGTGTTTCTGTTTTCTAAATCACGCGTGTTATGGCAGTTAAGAAACTGAACCTGTAAATTCATGTAAGCTGCTTCCATTCTTTGTCTCTGTCTCTCTGAATTGCTGGCTTCCGCTTTCCATTGTTCAATCTACAAGGTAAGTATCGTGAATCATAACATGCATGACGATACACATAGAAATTGCTATGGAAATACTCAATAAAAATTCCTCTAACACTTTCCCTACTAGCAATAATAAAATAATCAGTCCTGAAGTAGAGCGAAAGTGCACGAAATTTGGAGAACACTGTTCATATAAATAAAGTCATTTTATTTAAACAAAAAAATAAATGTTCCTCACCTCGTAGTTCTTTTTATTTATTTCTCCAATCTAAAAGAATTAACGGAAAGAAAAAAGCAATTAAAAAAGATACAAGCAAAACCACGACTCTTTAAGTAGCGTTTTAAAAACAAACAGAGGATGCTAAGTTAAAAAAGTTCGAAAGATACAGCGGGAAAACAAAGATAAGCAATAAAAGTAAAAATATTAACATTCGATCTCACCTTAGTAAGAAGTTCTTTTTCTTTCTTTTGATTCTGTCGGAGAAACATTTAAAGTAGATATTATTGTCGAACGAATTTTTAAGGGAAGATCAAATGTCAAATTGACAGACAAATGGTCACCATTTTAAGATGACAGAGCTAAACCATCTTATTAAGCATTCTACTTCATTGTTATTTACCTCTTCTTTCAAAAATACCACATCTTCATCCTAAAACAGGAGTGCAAGAGAAATAAATCGTTTCTTGAAGAAAACGCCTGGCAGTCAAGTTGATTGAATTACATGATATGTTCAGAGTAACACAAGTATACATACATAGAAACATGTCATCACCTATTATATTATTCTGCACTACGCTTATTAAACATAATTATAAGATCGTGAGGAAGAGCATCTTGGCCAACCACGCCAGCTTCCTAAAAAAAATCGCTTATAGTAAAAGAGTTTTTGTATCTATTAGTTTAACAAACAGGGGTGTTGAAGGTTCTCTTTCTATGCAAGTCAGTTAAAAAATCTCAATTCTATTTTTGTGATATTTAACATAAATTCTTCTTTTAATTACTTTTATAACAATTTTTATAGCTTTTTATTTTTTCCTTCAGTTTTAATATTATTAACATCCCAAAAGTTAAATCTAATTCATGCTTTTAAACAAGAGAAATCAAAACCCAGGTTAAATTGCCATCCTGGATTACGCGTGTATGATCTGAACGATCATACAGAACTCCGGTTTCGGTGAAAAGTCCCTGATCTGTACCATCTTTTGACATGGAAAAGTTCGCCTTTTTGTCCTTTTCCAAAGATAGAGCAAGGGTGTGATTACCCTCTATTCATCCAACTTACTGATAAAAATACATGATTACAAAAACGGTTACCACATACCAAGATTCTCAGTTCACGATCTTTTCGTTCAAGCTGCAAAAGTGAAACGGAAGAAGAAAAGAATGATAATTTAAAGAAAAAATCCATTTCATGCACAAGCTGAAACATTTTGAGGTAAAATAGAGATCGTGCTGGGTTAAACAAAGGTACTTACCAGAGACTGAGTCTCCCGTTCAGTTGCTTCGGTCTGTTTAGAAAGCAATTGTTTCCATTAGGTGACCGAATGCACAAGAAAAAGCGAGTTTACACAACAATTTTCTTAACATGCACTAAAGATCCCATGCAATACTGAATACGGTGGTAAAGAAAGCCTGGCTGAAGTGCCAAGCTCAGCGTATATGCAAAAGTATTAGTCTTATTAAGTTTGAAGACGGAGTTCTAAAACATGAAACGTACCTTCAAGGAACGTATAACATTTTCTTTGTTCTGAAAGTGGTAAACAGAACGGAATCGTATGTAAAATAATCCATGATAAAGGAACAAGAAAAATACCGTACGATAGTAATTAAACTAAGTGGAATTCAGTTTTGTCTGAAATCATATGGGAAAAAAAAACAGAGATTTCAAAATAAATGTATTGAAAAAAATTAGTCGACTTAAATTAGCTATCTTTGGTCAAGCTCTATAAAGCTTATCGCATACCAGTTAAACTAATTTTACTTGTTTCACATTCAAGGAGGATTCAGGTAAAAAACTCCCTAGGAGGAAATGAATTTTGAGTGGCCAGTCTCGCGCTCTGATAAACTCCAGCTCTTCGACATACCTAAAATGCCTAAAGGCTGAATACTTCTATTACAAAACCATTATCAGTTGCCGCGGTATAGCTGAGGCTAATGCTGGTCTGTTGAGACGGAAATTGCCAAAAAGAATTTGACTGACTGACAGTGAGTACAGTAGTAATTAAAAAGTTTTTTTTCCATTTAACTCTTAAAAAAAAATTGGGCGCTTCCTTACTTTAAGCTGCCTCTCCAAGAACCCAATCTTCTCGTTAAGCGCGTCTATTTCACCACTATTGATCAAAGCGGCCCGGTTAAGTACAAATCCCCGAGGAGGAATGATTCCATCCTCCTCATCACGTAACCTCTGGGGCTGCATCGACGAAGTCACATTTGAATTTGCATATGAGACCACTGGTTGGTTTAATGGTCCTAGTTCACGCTTCGGCAAAAGGAGTCTTCTTGGTCCTGGAAGTACCCGAAGAGGAGCCTTGGTTTTAGAGTCATCAGGTTTTATAGATCCTAAACTTGTGGGCCGCCTTCCAGATGAGTCGGTTAACGACGTAGGCTCCTCGATCGGATAGATTCCACCCAGCTCGCTAGGGTCTGATTCAAGGACCAACGTAGTTTCCTCCACAAGCAAAGGAGATTCCATTCGGGAAGAAGATTGCGACACCTCAGAGGTGGGTTTATTTTCTGAGTGAAGGCGCTGTCGAGATGAAGCCCGGAGAGTAGCTGCATCTCTAGGTGGAGAAGAGTCACTATTCAACAACACTTCCAGTCCATGAAGGACGGGAGGCGGAGACTCCGTGAAATCTGGTGGTGGTTCAGACGGGAGGGGTGGTGGAGAGGATTCAGGGAGGGGAGGGAGATCTCCCTCATCGTCTGAACCAAAGGTGACAAGATCACCTAATTCTGGTCTGTCTCTACTACCTTCCTCTAGAGGAACTGAATCCTTCTCTTCTATATAACGAAGATCTTGAATACGTTGGTCGATAATATCCATTTGGGTGTCCAGATTCCTTTGGGAAACCATAAGCTCTGGTTCAGAAATGAGGTCATCAGAGTCGACAGAACTTTCGTTATGACTGGGCATTGTATTTTCAAAGTCTCTTATTAGCGCTGAATAGTCCATTGGATCATCTTTCCCACTGAAAACTGCACCTTTCTTGTAACGACTTTGAGTTGATGGCTCAAACTCTAAACGACTGTCGCCAAGGTAGCGTATTTCAGTGGCAACAGTTGAGCGGACCTGAGGTGCAATGGTCTCCTCAATATCGCCTGGTATCGAACTAAGCACGTATTGAGAGTGTTTGAGACTCCTGGCTGCTATGTCCTTAGAGGACTCCACACAATCGGTCTGTGTTTCCTCGTTTAATCTCTCAGTGTTTTGCCTGTCCTGGGAACAGAAAGGAGAACTGTATCAAATACTGCAATTAAGTCATAGGTGCCCACTTTCCTCATTACAATCCCTAGTATCCCTTTGTTGTTTAACAATTTTTATGGTATCTCACATGAACAGTGGCACAAAAATATCATAGGATGTTTTTCCCCGGACATTACTTGGTCTGTTGAGCGATTAGTTATTCCGGCAAGAGCAAGCCCGAGGAAAACTGAGGGCTTCGAGGAACAGATAATGGTCGAGGAAAATATCTGAGCATATTTTATCTCCTAACAGAGTGCAAAACTTGCGTATAGTGGCCTTTAAATAAGTTTTTGCAGGGAAGGGGACAACATTTACCAACGTACTCAGTTTGATTCGCAGCTCCGGTTTAATCAGCAGAAACACAACAAAAATGAACTCTTTAAAGCAACCTGGGTAGAGAGTCTGCACTAGCACAAGGTTTGCTTCTAGGTTGACCCCAGTTAGTATTTCATATGCCCAAAATTCTGTGGACATGGGCTTTAAGGTGAAAAAAAATTAAAATGTCCAGTGTGATGGATCGGTGGTAGGTTATGAACGAAAAACAAACTAAAAGAAAACCAACAAATCAAACAAATAAACCAACAAAAAGCCAGAAAACGAAAACATAATAAAAAGCATGGTTATTAAAAAAAAAAAAAAATCAAGTGCAACTAGAGATTAGCTTAAAGGCCTCCATTAATATGGAAAAAAAAAGAAATTTTTAATCTCTCGGGTCCCAACAGGAGATTACCAAAAAGTGAAAAATGATCCAGCAATGGCCCTACAGCTAACCCAAGTTGATACTTTCTCTCAAATCACGAATTTTGGTTGTTTTTTAATGGTATACCAGTACTCCGTCATACTGGACGTGACTTTTTCTCGGTGTCCTCAAGTTTTCAGTCGGTAGAAGGGCTGGTTTGGGTCAGTCTTAAGGCAAACCGAACTCTATATAGTTAATGTAATAAGAACTCTTTACGGTATCTAACCCAAGCCAGTGTTGTAAGACTTTATAATGAAGATCAGTACCAGGTAAATATATCCAGTGTTACATTATAGAGCGCGAACGTCTTCTGTCACCTTTTTGCATTTCCATATTTTAACAGATTTGTTCAAGAAATTGTAATAATAGAAAACGAATGAGCCGTTCGACCCGGTTTTTTTTTTTTAAAGAAAACGGGCACCAACATTTTAGATAATGACATATAGGAAACTTCTCGAATTATCATTATTACAATAAGGACCTATACTACTCCTTGCATTGCATGTACAGTCTGGTAAAATTGCTCATTTAATACGTTTGACATTCTATAATTTGTATGAGCTTTGTTCACAGAGTATTCAAGTGTTTGCGAAGTTCTCATACAGAGATATCCTTTCTCATGGTTCTAGGATCGGCTTTACAGAGTATTGCTTTTTATAACTGCTTCTAAACAATAACCAGCCTACATGAAGTTGAATGTAAAATGAACTCAGCGTTTGTTTGGCTTGGGTGTTCTGTTCAAATATACTTGTGTTTATGTCATATAAGAACGGTGATCGCTCATCTTCATTCTTCATGAGTATGTGATTTCAGAATAAACAGAACAAGATAGGGAAGAAAGCAACATCCAACAGAATACCACTACAAAGTAGGAAACCTTTCTGAGAAAACTTTGCATTTTGATGTTAAGGTTGCACATAAACATGCTGAAGACCTTTGTTAGCTGCAGATCAAGCCCTTGACTTTTGAATTATATGAAATCACCAAGTTAAAGAAATATCAGTGGGTCGTAAAAAAATAACAAGAACTGAACAAAAGAAAAGAAACTAAATAAGGAAGAATACCAAACCTACTATGTTGTTTCCGCTGTGAAATTTTATGAAATGTTCGGTCGCTTGCAACGCTAGTTTGTGGCTCGAACATTAGCATAATCATCCAGAACTAAATTATGCAGGGCAAATTTATTCGCTGTTAGGAATATCAGTAAACAAAGACAATTTTAATCATAACGAAGACTATTGTCCAAGTTTTAAAACAGCTATAGCGGAAGGAAATACATGTGTACACAACTGATGGGAGGTCGTTCTGGACAATGAATAATACCACTGCGGGTGTAATCATCGAACAAAAACAGTTTGGGAATTGAAAGGAATACTTCTGAAAATTTACAAACATGGATGTTATTACCTATCCTGTGTGGCTGACTGTTTTGTCAGATTTTTTGGAATCGGAGCGGCTAAAATAAGCGATGAAGCCGCTGGAAGAATGGGACCCGCTACCCTCATATTCACCAAGTGCAAGAAAACCGTCCGTTACGTGGGATAGTTATTATTAGACTTTGACGACGAATGTAGACGAAAATTTATGAGACATTTCATTGCCGCACGTAAATAAGCCTATTTATCAGCGGTCTTGAAATGCTCTGTTTGTGGGATCGATCTTTAACTATTAAATCAGAGACAGCTTATAAAACACACTTCAGGTGCAACCAAAGCAGCAAGACGAGAGCGTTCCAGGTCAGTTCCAGTCTTTCGCTAAGGCTTGTGATCGGGTGAGCAACACCATTTCACGCACGCCTACTTTTTCGCTAGTTTCCACTAACTCAGAGAATTTCACAAAAGCTCACGGAAGAACCGTCGTCACAAAAAGCCTTTTTCTCTCTCGAAGTATTTACAACAATGTAATAACAAAATAACTAGTAGCTCATAAAAATATTGATAGCAGTTATCATAGGGAATTATTATCCTGACTTGTGAACTGAGCACATCCATAGGAGTGCTTAACGCGCGCAGAGAAACTGAGAAACTGGAGCGCAAACGTTTTTTTTAGACGCTACAGGTAGAGCAGATCTTTGGTCTACAGGCCCAAACACTCACATTACAGCCAATGGTTGATGCGAGGGTGCGTAAAAGCAACGGCAGGGGAAATGTTGGCATTTCATAATTACCTGTATT